CCTAGGCGTTCAATTTAGTTGAACATTAAATTATTTAAAGCACCAATCAGCCTTTGGGTATAATTTGTTACACGCGGTAAGAGTCAAAATTGCATGATTGAATAAACAAAAGTATCAATCTCCTCCATACTGAATTTAGGGAAAAAAAACTCGAGAGGAAAAAGTTCATTTAAATAAATAGAATACAATAAAATTTGATCCCATCAGGGTTTTTCCAGGTCTATTTACTTTCAACCAAAATGATAATCCAAAACGATACTTCTTTAATTATTGAAATCGGCACAATATGTTTGAAAGTAAAAGTGTCATATTGAAGCAGCAATTCAATTCAAAGAAGTCTCTTGACATATTGATCAATCGATTAATTGTATTAAAATAATCTCAAATTACGAATTACTCTGCCAGTTCGTCTAATTAAGGGGTCTTGGCGATTATATCATGGTTCTTGAAAATTTTGTTTAAGTTAGTTATTTGCTACCTTCTTATTTTTCCGAGAAAATAAAGAGCCGTTTTCATTCCGGCCTATTTTACTTATTTTAAAAATTTATTCTGTCCGACTTCTAATAAGTTCCAGTATGTTAAGTTATGCGAGTTAGTAAGATCTTAATACCTCAATTATTGGAAGTAAAACAAACCAATTTGTATTTTCCAGCAAGTAGCTATAAATATGAAATCGTTAAAGACTAGGTAATTCGAGAGCACAGTTCACCTGCAGGCAGACGAATTCGGACTTACTATGATTGAGAAAGTGCCTTCACAGCCCAGCATCATCTGTAAAGTACCCCTACTCTCTTTGAATGTCAAACGCCTGCCAAACGCTCAAAAAAACTGCCATAGTGATTAATTTTATGAGTTTAGGGCCCCAACGACAAAGAGAATCACCTACGTATCCTGGTTTCAAAATCCGAAATTGACCTCCGGCAGATAGTGACTGCAGTCACTGTGCCCAAAGCTCAAATCGTATACCTTTTTTCAAATAGTATCAATAAATCCTGTTCATTCTTTAAGTGCACCGGTACAGTGATGAATAACATGGGTGGGGGGGGGGGGGGGGGGGGGGAGGTTGGAACGATGATAACTACTGTGCACACGCCGACGGCGATGCCAAGCACAACTGTTAGATTCTGTCAACAAGAGCGCTGTATATTTCAAATTCCTCGTAGCACCTTCTTGAGGACATCAACCATTAATTATTATCTCAATCCCTGCACAGTCTCTGATTGCTTATATTCGTGGCAAAGAATTTTCCCTTCTGTGTTAATATTTAATCTCATTATAATCTTCCTTCCAGGGTGTGCAATAGACTAACCTCCACGTGGTGCACCCTGGTCAACGTATACTCATTCGACAAAAAAGTCTTTTTTTACTGACAGTTGACTTCTGACTTTAACTACCATCACCCCACTGTATGTCATATTCCACCACTTTCACAGTACTCATCTTATCCTTTCTCTGCCTTTGTGTCTGTCTGTCTCGTTTACATCTTTGAATCACTCTTCTGCTCCCTCTCTTTACTTTTTCTAACTATGATGTTCCTCCTCCTCTCTGTGAAGTCCGAAGTCAACTAAAGGGCTAATGATAACTATCAAAACACCTTCCATCTGATATAAATAAATTAAAAATCTTCCTTCCACTTTGACTTCGTAGGAATTAGGTGAAATGGAACCCCTGCCTATTTATACCTTGGTTTAGGCTGGTAAAAAGGCTATTTTGTTTGACCACCTTCGTAGCAACAAAACGTATTATCTTCCATTCAGTACATCCGCACACCTCTCAGTCTTGCATTGAGTGGCCTTTAGTCATCCAACATAATGAGGAGAGATGGTTGAATAGTTTGCCAAAAATATTGCTGTTCACAGCTATGAGCGAATTGATCTATTCAAATTCGCTATTAGGAAGTGACCAGCGCCTTTAAATTCATTTGACAACTATTCGAGCACTCACACACACATCGAGAGCATATAACTTCATATATACGCGTGAGTGAATGATTGAGTACATTCGAATTCGCCTATAGACCCAGGTCTCTAATACAGGTATTGTAGTCATGGCTTCGCTTGCATGTTAAATCGTGTCAATCCATAGCATGTACTTCTGAATTCACCCTCCTATCCCCCTGCATTAAAGTCACTTGCTTTGTCTAACTTGACACCTTCTTCAAATCAAATGAAAGCGAAAAATTATTGTAGTTTACTTACTGATTTATTTGCCCAAATATTATGCCATTCGTATTATACCTCCTATGTATCCCTCAATACCCATAAAAATTTCAAAATTTTTTTGAGGGGCTTTTGGTCTATTGTTTCTTAAAAATGCTCTAAAAAACAGAATGACATTTAAGGTACCTTTCAATCACTAATAATATCTTCCTACCTCTTCGAATAGACAAGCTATCAGAATTTTGTAGTTTCAATCAAATCCAAAGAACAAACCCCAAGGGAACGCTAAAAAATTGATTACACGAAACTGTATCATTGGTTGACCAGAGATCATCCAAATAACTCTAGTGGTCCAATCTGTCAGACGAGGAAATGTTACTCATCGGCACTTGCTCAGTGAAATTTATTAAGTAATTCCCGTCAACTGAAGATAATGAAAAAGTTGGGTGTTTAACGAAGATGTTCATACAAATCTTGGCTCTCTCCATACTCAGGTTCCAGTCTGTCTAACAGGAAGATTCTCTTGTGATCAGACGCTGTGGGTCTAGACACCTAAATTGTAAAGCTAAGTACTTAATTGTGCCTATATTCTTGAAGAGATGAGAGCCGCACTTTACTCAAACCTTGTCGTGTTTAAGCCCTTCCTGCACGCTTAATGACAAAACCACATCGCGCACGAACGCTACCAATGAGCTCTTTTGACACTATGTTAGCCATATTCATTCTGATACATTCAAACGCTTTCTATAACCGCATACACCGTGAAATTTTCTAGAAAGAATTAAAGGCTTTTTAAGTAACAATTTATTTTCTTTCAAATACATACAAGGAAGAGACCAGCGAAGACCAGAGAGTCTGTTTCAAGGTGAGGAGAGATTTACACAAGAAGCGCAACACAGAGCTCAATGCAGCTCGTGAATGGGAGCTCGAGGTGAAGAACATCTATACAAAAGCGGGGCTCTTTTGCGGGACACCGTCTGCTGTTTCCATAGATCTCACAGATGGCGAATTCGGTAACTGTTTCCAATGATGTCTGGCGCGATCAACCTAGGCATTCACCTGTTTAAAAGCATCAGCCATTAGACAAGGCATTGTACTGTCATGTTAACCGTACGTGGAAAAACAAAGACATACGAATAAGTCAGTCTCATTTTCTCATGATTAGATTACTTGTTTTATTTAAGTTAAAGACCTTTAAAGGAAGCATATCATATGCATCTCCGGTACCATTGGCTGTAGTTGCAACCTTATTTGAGGTAAACGAATAATAAAACATTGTGATATATTCGAGCGAAAATTAAACGCTTTATCCCTCGTAAACTGCATCATTGATTATTGATCTTACCTGCTCACATCTGGACATTAAATTCCACAAGTGAAGCAATTATCAATAAAATCGGTTATTACGAAGACAAATCTAATATGCCCAGTGTTGTGTTTAAAATAAATTGTGTGTACATGCTGCTTTATAAATGCCTCCATGTAAAACGGAATATGATAACAAATGTAAGTTAAAAGGCTTCAAGGCCCACTACCAGTAAAACAAATCATATAAAAGTAGAAGTTGAAAATTGACCAATTCTTGTTTGAAATAGTAGCGTGCTAATGGCAGGAATGACACCCCATAGTGGTGGAGATATGCGAGTATTAGAGAGGCCGGAATTGGAGACTGTTCAGACACAAAGGTGGTGGAAGAGGACAGCTATATCTTTAGTCTAGTCATTAATCATTGGTCTACACACAACACGGCATGACTGCATAAAGTTCAAAATGAAGATAGATATTGTGCTTTTTTACACCGACAAATGGTCAGCCCAATTTAATGTCGATAGAAGCCATCAGTTTCCTACTCTGATTAAAACTTTGTGGTGCAATAGGTTGGCCAAGGTAAAATATAAGTGAAAGGTTTATTAATAATTACCCAAAAAATATAGCAAAATTACACCATCGTGAACAAGTCAATTCGTAAAATCATTTCAATTTCAATTTAATTTAGAACGTGTTTTCCCAATTTAAATTGCGTTAACGAGCAGCCACTTGTTCTCAAACAATTTAATCTCAAAAGCCTCTACTAACAGGAGGGAAAATTCATGTAAGAAGGGGAAATAATCCCCCCCCCCCCTCATATTTTGATTTTCCTCAATTTTAAACAAATTTGGTAACAAAAGGAACAAAGCCGGAAATATTTTACTTCAGCTAATTTTTCGCATGCCTTTGTCTCTGACTGCTCAAATGTCCCACATTTTGAGGTCTAGAAGAGCGTTCGTACTTCGACACGTTCTCTGTTCTTTGAAATTAAAAGTAACCTGAATAGCCCTCAATTTATTACAAATTCGCGGCTCACGTGGCATGCAAGGGGACTTTAGGCGACAGGTCAATTTGAGATTAATTAACAAGCTCAGACAAAGAGGGCTGGGCAGACGTATCGGGAAGTCAATCAGACTCTGATCATATAAACACCTCTCACCTGGCTGAATTTACCTGGGCGATGGATGCCCTAAGAAAGTTGGGGGTGGGGGAATAGACTGCCATAAGACGATGGTATTCATTAACTGAAGATGAATGTCTCCTTATCTCTGAAAGTTTCCCATAAGTGAAAACTGCGCATATATTCAATGTACTTTTTTACACCCAACCAATGAATGTTAAAAGCGTGCTTCATCACGCACATATAGGAAAATAAATTAAAATGGGATAATATTGGGTCAGAAGATTATCTCCCGCCCCACCTCCTAATTAGACACCTAAATGATGGACAATCGATTAAAAATGGGTGTGTCCAATTGGTTCACTTGACGTGAGATGAATTAGCTAATAATATGCAGAAAAAAATTGAAGAAATTAAAGAGCATCACAGCACTTACCAGTGGAGAGTAGTCTTTCTTCTTGAAGACCACTATTACCGAGGAAAGTGGAAGGTGTGTGGAGGTTTCCATTGTTCTGACAAAAGAAGGTGGATGTGTTGGTGAGTGGAAGACAATCAGTACTACCATTGCAGTGAATGACATGCGACGAAGGCGGTTCATCCTCACTCACACCTCGACCTGAATCAGCGGAACCACCTTCAAACTGTTCCGAAGAGGCTAGATGTTGGTGCTGACTCGAGGACGATGTGTGTGGATGACTTTGGGTGCTGTACCGACCTCCTGAACTTTCTGGAAGCTCAAAAACCTCTTCCCCGTTGCCACGTCCATGATAGATAAATGTAGGCGATCCGGAAGTCTGCAGAATAAATAGTAATTTGATAGTCAGTTTGCTACTTAAACGGTTATCCCATTTTCCCTTAAGGTATCATTGCTTGGCATGCCATATCTGGAAAGAACATTATAAAAACATAAAATAGATTCCGTTTTCCAGAAGTCATTGCGCTTACATACACAATTTGCTGAGTCACTTTATCAAAGTGGGAGGTAACGGCTTTGAGGAGATTGCTAAAAAATTTGTTCCGCTTCGTGAATTTGAAGGGCACTCTAATGCATTTTTTGAGAAAAAATAACTCAGAACTCTGAGTGTGCTCTTTCACCGACAGGATTTTGACATACATGCCTCAAAAACTATTCCAATATATCTAGTCAATGACAGGGTAGGGAAGATTGTCAGAATTGGTTATGAGAATTATATGAGAACGTCATGGAGAGAACCAGATTTAACATCATAAGCATCAAGTAAGTAGAAGCCGGAAAAGCAGTTCATAGGATCTCAAGACGATGGCAAGCATGCGAAACAGTGATGAAAGCACGAAACCAGAGTTTGTAAGATGGATCTACCTCGGTAATGACCAAGTTGATCAGCCTACGCTTATTCTACATTCAGCATTTCATGTGAAATTGAAAAATTAAAACACCTTCACGCATTAACTGCAACAGACTGTTAACTGGAGTTGACTAACTCTGTCTTTGTTACAAAATGAGAGGACACCACGATCATTTTTCATCCGCAAACTGGGGGGAAAATCCTTTATGAGACTAGTGATTGGTATTTGACCGAGCCAGATGGTAACCACAAATCACTCCGAGACAGTTCTGTCAAACGGACTACCCGCATAAGGCATGAGCGATACACGAAGAACCCCTGAACGGGTTCCCCTTTCCCTTTCACCCCAGCCCTCCCCCCCCCCTCCTGCTGTCCTGCATGTATAAACATGTCGACTGGGTTGAATTTCTAAAACGCGGGAGGGAAAGGCTACACACGCACACACAATGGCTCCGCTTTACCAAGTTGACTGGTAAATTAAATACATTAAATGGCAAATTTGAACTGACCTGTCTGAACTTGAGCATTCCGTGCGTAGAGCCAGATGAAGTAGTCGGTAGTTGGCTGAGAGAATCGCAGGTATTGTAAGCAAGTGGATGATAGCCTCCAACAATGCGTAATCCAGGGGATGCACCTGATCCAACCAAGTAGGTACTACAATTCGGATCTACCTCAACAAATCTGACCTGTTCATCGCCTTGAGTACTTGAAGCCAAACCATAAGGAGCATAGAACTCATTAACACCTAAATCAGTGACTGGGCAGTTTCCTCCTCCACTACCATCACAATGTTCACTTGAACAGACACTTGCGGCAGTAGTTTTAGCCAACATATACGCCGGGCCATTTCCATTCTGTTTGAGGAAGGTTGGGTAGTCGGAATGTGGATAAGTTGGTGGAAGAATGTAGCTTGGTGGGTGTGTCGGTGTTGTAATAACTTGTTGACGAGTCTTGAAACCTGTCGTATGTTGTCGTCGAATGCAAATAATCGCAGCGATCAAACTAACAGCTATTATGAGTGTGACTAGCACCAGAAGGATAAGCAATCCCGTTTGAAGAGTGAAGAAGCCTGAATTTGTACCATCCACACGAATCTAAATTAATAAACAAGAATATTAATACGACATAAAAACGGGTCAGATTTTAAGGTCATCGTGATTTACTGTCAACCAAGTATCGGAATATAGTGGGGGGTGGCCCATATCTGAAGCACGAATTCTGAGGCGATGTACTCCCGGTTGGAGATTCGGTTGCTGCAGCGATCTCGAATCACTAGCATCTGATAGACCTGAGTAATACCGATTAGCGACGGTGACTTCACCAGTGGTGGAATTGACAGCAAAAACGACTTGACTATGAGGGTCGTGGAGGCCATATCGAACTTTTCCATTTTGGCCAGCATCTATATCCCGAGCCTCCAGGTAAGCGACAACTTGTCCCGTAACAGCATCAGTAGTAATATTAACGCTTTCAGAGTTATCGCCCGTCGCATCATCCGCGACAAGAGGGAAGATCCATTCAGGTGCGTTGTCATTTACATCTACGACAGACAGAGTGACATTTACACTGGTACACCGCGTGTCACGAGGTGCCATATCACAGGCTACAACCCTTAGAGTGTACTCGGACGTCTGTTCCCGATCCAACGGCTCCAGAGCTCGCAACACTCCCGTAGTTTCATCTAACTGGAACAGATTGTGTTTACGAAGATGCGTTGACGAGTCCCAGACATCTTGGAGGCCATACTTCACCTAGAGTTCAAACCGGGGAGTTCAAAACTCATAAAATTCGGTCACGTATAGGGCTTTTTCGAGTTCTCACGTTTAATTACTCGAGGATGCAGAGTAGTTAAAATAACATTCATATGATATCTATTCGGGTTTAAAGACTAATTAAAGTGAAATATTTACTCGCGTGCCAATAACCTCGTGTGTCCTCGACTAGCGAACCATGTGTGTTTATGCCTAAGATATACTACCTTCCACTTAAGCCTCAATGTGAAACGTAAACTTAACCGATATACATTCGTCCTGCGACTAAATGCGAAGTTTTTTTTCGGAGACCGGCAAGGCTGTACAAGATTAACCAGTCAACAAAGAGGCAGAAAATGTGAGGCCTCAGTATAGGAATCAATGAAATAGGATATGCCCTTGGCAAACGACTTTCCACCTGAATTAGAAGATTCTTTAAAGGCGTTCCGGATCGGAAGGCTATAAAGTAAGAGCGAATCGAGTACTTGATGAGAAAGAAGACGGGAAGTTCAAAAATAGGAGTTTTTAACTCATGCACTCAGGTAAATATATAACAGATGTCTCCTTACAACGCCTTGTCCTCTCACACCATCTGCACCCGGGGCTATATTAATTAAAGGGAATTATTACTACTGATATATATGAATTTGTTTTAATCCTGACAGAATATGCTAGTAACAGCTGTTCCATGATAATTAGAAATCACCAATCATTTGGTGCTGCGTTGCACCTAAAGGTACACTGGAGACAACATACAATAAAAATGAATTAATTCGAGATGACAAGCCACCTTAGTAATATTCGCTTTCTTGACGTATAAATCGAACTGGAGTAGTAATTATAACAAAATATGCATATATAGGAAGTGTGCCTACAGAGCTACAGAAGTAAGAAGGTCATATACGTCTTTAGACTCTTAAACATTCCTTTAAGAAAGGTTCAATTGTTATATTTTTTCAAATATCATGGCCTACATTAAGAAAAGCTTGATTGCATAACGATTAGAAAATGGGGTGTACGATAAACTTACCTCCACGTGGTGCACCCTGGGCAACGTATA